AGGTGAATGTGTGGCCCAGTTCTGCCTGTGAGCTGGGAGTGACATATAAAGGAGTTCAGAGAGAAAAGAAAGGGAGAAGTCTGCTGATTGGCTCTTTCCGTAGGACTTCACTGGAAGCAGCTGAGTTTTCAGTCCTTTAAATTGAGTTGTTTAATCCCATCCAGCCGCCTTTGCTTGGAATTGGCTTTTGTGTGTGCGTGTGTTTAATGGGAGCACAGGAGATACAGTCCATTAAACTGCTCTGTTCAGGTTGTGGCTGTGGAAACTCGATTTGCTGAAGTGCCAAATGTTGTCAGGGCTTTGGGGCACATCTTGTGGGCCTCGTGAGGAGAGGATTAAAGCTGATCTTGGGGACAGTTTTTTTTGGGGGGGAGGTACTATCAGAGAATGGCCTCTCCTGCCTTTCAAGAGGGATCTGGGGAGCTTGATAATCACTGGTGAGTCAGGTTTGTGCCACACTCTCATTCTTCCCCAGGATGCCATTCCTGAAAGTCCTCTTTGACCTTGAAGACACGCTGTGGACTTGGCAGTGGGAGTCCTTTCCTCCTGGGTCCTCTGTAGGAAATATAGGAAGTGTTCCCTGATGGGGTTTTCCAAATTTCTCAGACACTGCTCTGATCTCCCTGGAGCTGCTTGGGGTTCACAGACCATGCTGGACTCTGGTTGTAAACGTTAGAGAACCTCAGAGCAGTTCTGGAGAAGAGAGAAGCGCACACAAAAACTTAAGACTTTTAACCTGCCCACAACTAAGATATACTAGAGCCTAAACTCAAAACCAGATCTATTTGAAGCCAAGCTCCATCCCCTTAACTGTTTAATTACCATGCCATGTCCCATCAAATATAGAGCCACCTGGGGAGGTGGGCACTTGGATTTCCTCCTGATTTCTCCAGAAGGATCACTGCCCTTTCCCCCTTGTTCTGTGCAGATTCTCAGTTCAATATGGAATGTTTATGTTTTGAAAAAGCCCTTTCCTCTTCAGCCCTAAATCCTTTGCCCTCTTTGCTTATTTATTTGAAGAAGCTCTTTGTATATTTAGGGCATTTATTTGTCATCTCCATTGTAAATGTTTTTCTCTCTCAGTAATACTGTTATAAACCCTCTCGTTTATATTATATTCCTCACTCTGGTTTAGAGCCACTAACCCCAGGAGACAGTGTGTACCCAGGTGTTGATGATGCAAGAGCCAGGCATGGAGACGACAGAGCTCAGAGACTTAGCTCATCCCCACCCTCTGTATTCTGCAACCCTGTTAGCCTGTGGCCTCTCTAGAGTGTCTTGACTGCCATTGTTCTTCAGTTCTGCCAGAGTGACAGACTGGTAGGCCACACCCTTCTGGCATGCATTGTCTAGTCTTCCTTTATTCAGGATAAGTGGCTGTTTCCTCCCTGCCGCCTGCTCCTTGTAGACATTATCTGAATCCTTTTTGTCAGAAACAGTTTGCAGGTGTCAAATTAATATTCTTGGCACTGAAGAAGAAATCCTCCCATTAGCTACAGATCCAGTAACTTGTTTTTATGAGGAATGTGACCCTGATTTCCCCAACATGGAATGCAGAGCAATACTCAGAGCTTCCTGGTGGGCCTCCATGTTAGGGTCTGTGCTTCCCCTGCCCAGATGGTGCCAGGTGACAGCTGCCAGTTTCCTTAGAGAGCTCTGTCTGAAGACAGGTTCCTCTCTACCTTCCTGATAGGCTGGGCCCAGAGGCTTCAGGTGACCCCTGCCTCCCATGTGTAGGTGCCTCACAGCCTACATTTAGAGTTCTCATGGGAGAGGCACTCAGTCTCAGAAGAGACCTGGAAGAACCATATGTCCTCTCTGAGTGAATGTGGACAGCCTGAACAGTTGGCTTCCAGAGCACAGGGCAGAATCCTACCTCTGGGCTATCCTTGGTGGTGAGTGGCCTTGCATAAGGAATTTAATCTGCCTGAGCCCATGAAATGAGGCTAACGAAGTCCACACCTGCCTTTTAGACAGTACACAGAACACAGCACTCACAGACCATGCCCACCACATCACCTTCTTGTCCTTCTAGGTTCACCTATTAAGAAATTGGATTTTTCAAAACATTGAGTTCCCCTGCCTGGGAGCAAGGCTCATACCCAGTAAGTCATCTTGTCCTTTAGTAACACCTCGGGGTTTGTATGAGGGTTGTATTCAAGTAGTGAACATAACACAGCATTTTTATTCCATTATGATCTACAGTGGCATCCCTTCCTGGTGACAATGCAGCTTGGTGGCCAGGGACACAAGCCTTAGGAGCAGGCAGTCCAGAACAGAAGTCCAGTCCTGGCTCTGCCACCTAATGATTGTCTAGCCTGTTCCCATAAAGGAAAAAAAACAGACATCTCCCTCTAGGTGTGTTAGAAGGGTTAAATGAACTTGTGGGCATCAGATGCTAAGCACAGGACCCAGACTGTAGGACGACCTATGATAAACAGAGGCTCCTCAGATTCTGGAGGTCATTTCTGTAGAAGGCTTCAGCAAGATGAGCCCTGTGTCTACTCACAGCCCTCTCCCTTAGTTTCTCCAACACCTAATCACAGAGTGCCCTCATTTTTTTCTTCCTCCTGCGTGTGGGGCACAGAGCAGGCTAAGGAACCTGTGTTCCCATAGAAAGCCAGGCAGTAGGTAATGGGAAGAACTCCCCTTCATGTCCTTCCTCCCCTTCCTAAACCTCCCCAGCAGCCCTGGGTTAAAGCGGACGTTAAGTGCCAGCCTCACTTCTTAGAGCCCTGTCAGTCAGCATGTTCCACCATGTCTGAAACATCACTCCTCATACCAGCTGAGGAAGACCTCCAGCTGGCTGCCTCCTGTTCAGGGAGAGAAAGAGAAAGGACATCATTGGCAGAAACTCATCAGGACCTCAGCAGCCATGGCCTCTCAGAAGCAAATCCTCTGAGACCAGTAAGTAGGCCCTGCTGGGTCCCACGTTACTATGGACCTGTCCTACAAGCAATGGGGCCTGTTTGGCATACTCTGTCTACATCTCAGGTCTCAGAAGAGATTACCAACCCAGGAGAAGTCACTGTCAAGAGAAGTAGCTGACATGAGCGTTAGCCTGATATGAGTGGTGCAAAAGCAGCAAAAAAAGAATGAGAACCACCTTTCTGGCAAATGTGTCCAGTAGCATCCTGGAGCACTTTTCACAGCCTTGGTGCAGTCATGGGCAGGCTTTTTATAAAGGTGCCGAGAGTCCCCTGCAGGTACAGTGATGGTCCCTGATCTAGGGCAGACCACTGCCTTTCCTGTCCTCAGCTTGATGAGATGTATCAAAAGGACCCAGATCTGTGAGCTCCTCTGCCTAGACTGAGCCCTGAGAGAAGCAGAATTGGGCAACCTTAAGCTGCTGGCTGTCCTCGCTGGTGTACCTCTCTGCATGTACTGCTGGTTCCAATCTGGACCTCTTGCTCCCTCACCAATAGGGTAGGTGCCCCAGGGATAAGTCTGCTGTGTCCTGGACTTCATTTGAGGAAGGGTTTGCCCTGGCAGGAGTTGGGAAGTTAACCCTGTTTTCATGGTACTGACCTCTGGAGGAAGGTTAACAGAAAAGGTGAGAAGATTCTTGGCTGTCAAGGGAAAGGGCTCACCTGGCCAAGTCAAACTGCCAAGACCGTCTCAGAGCTCATTTGTAACTGAAGGAGATGCTCAGACTTTGCTGAGACAGTGCTATTAATGTGACCTCTCCAGGCAGGTGTCCACCCTAGCACCTGAGCAGATCAAGGAGAGGCTACTTTGTTTTTTGCATTTTAATTTTACATTTATTTTTGTGTGTGTGTGTGTGTGTGTCT